AAGTGAGTGCTTGATTGATTGTACAAGTGAGTGCTTGATTGATTGTACAAATGAGTGCTTGATTGATTGTACAAGTGAGTGCTTGATTGATTGTACAAGTGAGTGCTTGATTGATTGTACAAATGAGTGCTTGATTGATTGTACAAGTGAGTGATTGCTTGATTGACTGTACAAGTGGTTGATTGCACAAATCAGATGTTGGCAACAAAGGATGCGAGCATGTTGAACGAGCTGAACAACATCGGGGAATCAGCCCTGCACGAGGCCTGCCTCAACAAACTGCCTGATAATGTCAACATGCTTCTCCAGTTCGAATCACTGTTCATTATTTAACAAGAGCAAAATAACACATTAATTTTAATTTTAAAGTTTCAAATCAGTTGAATTTTAATTTATATTGTGACAGAATTGTAATCTCCAAACACATTTTTGGTTGCAATTTTACAATATATGTAGATTTAATTAATAACTCAATTATTCTTTATTACAGTTTTTATGATAGGAAAGCTGATCATAAACAATTTTGTAGCATGCGTCAGTTTAGCTCCATCTCATGTATATTTAGTTTCTTGCATCATCTTTATTCAGTGTTAATTTTAGAAACAAATAACTGTCAGGATGGGTGCAAATAGTTCATTGTCTGCCTCATACAGATACCCTGTCCACTGTGCCATGCAAGTTGACTGTATCAGGTTTCATTCATAACTTTGTTCAAGTCTTCTTCATTATTTTTCAGAAACTGTTTTGGCATGGATTGAATGAAGTTATAGAATGACTGTTCTCAAAAGATTTCTTGTGCACATAGATTCTAGAGGGTCAAATAGTTTAAGACATTGAATCATAAACTGTAATGATATTGACGATTATGCTAGAAATTTTGACTTAGATTGTGAAATGCATGCACTACGTTTTACTGTTTATTTATAATTTATTCTTCTGGTTGCTTACACAGTTGCGTGGAGGTGCTGCATGAATATGACAATGACGTCCTGAAACTGGCTGAGAAGATTTACGGCAACACTGCCATGCACTGCTTAAAAAGCAAGCAGGTCGGACATTGGTCTCATATAGGTCATTTATTCTAATTGTTTCAAAGGTACCAACAACACAGTGTATTCGAATGCGGACAGATGGAAACCATACATACATCATCTTTACTTGTATTGCATACAAACGACGAAATTTTAAACTGGCGCTACTTTAAGTTTTCTGTAGTAGTAGTAATAATAATAATAATAAGAATAATAATAATAGTAATAATGATAATAATCGGTGGATAGCTCCATGCATTCAAACCTGATCACTGCAAAACAGGACCAGGTGCCTTCAACATTTAACCCACTTCCAAGCACAATTTGTAGTAATTGGACATTACCATAGTAGTCCTGGCTTAAGCCACTAGTGTACTTTATTTTATTTTACCATTGTTGTATTTCTTCTGGCTTATATTGCCCTTGTTTGGTTTTATGTGCCCTTTTCCTCGTTGTACTCGTTTTTTGATTGTGTTGTTGAATTCGGTTGCTTTTTTCTTTTCCACCATTAAGCATTACGATTTCATTGTCATTCAAATAGCTACAATGGCCAGCATTATCACAATGCTATCATACATTATCATCATCATTATATCATTATTTTCCTTGCCATCATCTTCATCATTGCTATCCTCCTCATCTTTCTCTTCCTCATCTTTATCATCATCTCCATCGCT